GGAGATCGCAAGTGAGGTGGCGCTTATTGTATATCACTCRTGGGCTTTTTTGGATATCTATCAACTCATTTGCTCTTCTTTTCTCTCTTGGATGTATGGAGATAATGCATGCATGTGACCACGCTGGTGGCTGACTACGGAAGCGATAACTGACAGGGAAGGATACCCAAGACGGTGGTTGCTACGCTAACAGAGATGGGATGCTACACTTGCGGCCAGGAGGGCCACTTTGCGAGGGATTGCCCGCAAAGGGTGGGCGTAGCTGGGAACAATAATAATAATAATAATAATAATAATAATAACTTTGGCGGCAATAATAATAATAATAATAACGGTTATTATAGATCGAATGGGATGACATGGCAGCAGAGGAAAGATTTTGAAGATATCGGGTGGATGAGAGCGCTATGCGCGGATTTGGCGAAGGAGAGAAAGGAAAAGGAGGAGCGTGAGAAGGAACAAGAACGTTTGAAGGAGGCGGCGGAAAGAAGGAGAAGGGAAGAGGAGCTCCATCTTCAGCACAAGAACGAGATCGAGAAGCAAGCAGAGATACGGGATGCACGCTTGATGTCCGCTATGACGTCCCAACTGAAGTCACTGCATGACAAGCTCGTCGGGCAAATGGACGAAGTACGATCCAAAGTGCTGACCGGAGATATGCAAAGCGCGGATGTCGGAAGAATGCGGAATGAAGTGCTTGAACTTGAACGGGAACTTGCGAAGGAGGACAGTCACGACAAGGAGAGAGAAGCACTCAAGAAGAAGCTGACACAGCTGTGAAAGCTCAAGGAAGAACGCGATCGGGCTCGGATGAAGAGGAAGGTACTGGAAGAAGAGATGAGGTGGGAGATGGAACAGACGCGGCAGGAATTGGAATTCGAGGAAGACCGGCTCGCACCATCATCATCTGCAAGGCCTCCTAGGATGCGGATGGAACAGACGCGGCAGGAATTGGAATTTGAGGAAGACCGGCTCGCACCATCATCATCTGCAAGGCCTCCTAGGAAGCGAAGCATCGTGACTCCGGGAACCTCCTCTCGATCTCGCCGCGCCAAGCAGCCGCAGTCCGGGATCCGCATCGAAGAACCATCTACTCCGAGGACGCCTGTGACACGATCACGTGCAAAGAACCTTATCGTGGACAACGAGTCTCTGATCGATGGTTGGAGGGACATTACGAAGAAGGACGCGAATACGAATGTCGTGGACTTATGCATGAGCATGCGAGGATACCTTCGAACCAGATCGATGAGCGAGCTACAATGCCTCTGTGATGAAGAGAGCATTACCTACGTAACGCGGGAAAAAGCTACCAAGGCACTCATTTCCGCTAAGATGCAAGAAGCCATGCTGCGCACGAATGCCCGATCTGACCAGGGGGAGGAGCAGGAGGTGAATCCGGAATGTAATCCGGATCTCGACGATAACTGAACTGGCTCCCCCGAACGACTTCGGGCAATGTGGGACTCACTGGTAGACTTTAGGAGAACTAGAGGAAGGGATCGATCTGTGGACAGGGTAGTTGATACTGCATTAAGGATGATTATCGTTCTCCTTACGATGCACGGAGCACTGCCTTGGACCGAAAAATTCAGAGATATGTGGAGCATGGAGGGATTGGACTGGGAGAATCCAGAGCGCTGCGTTTATGCTCTGGTCTCGGCAAATTGTAGGAAAATCTACATCGGAAGGACGGGGCGAGAACTTAGCCTGAGATGGAAGGACCATCTTGCCTGTAGTCGAGGTAAGGAGAGTAAGGGTCAGGCGCTTTACCGTTGGCTTGGAAAGATAGGGCCGGAGGAGTATATAGCTATACCTCTAACGACAGTAGAGGATGGCGCTGATCTGGCACGGATCGAAAGGTGCCTGATTAGACGTTGGTCCCCGGATCTCAACCGTCAGGAAATTAGACAACCATGTCCGAAGAGAAGAAGGAGGAGGAAAGGGAGAAGAGAAAGAAAGGGAAGGAGAGTCACGAGAGAAAAGAAAGGGAATATCCTCCACTTCACGGACAAGGATGGGAACACAACTACGCGTCTGACTGAATACATGGAACGAGCTCTCAAGAATGGACGACGGGATATACATGTCACTTGTACGGAAACATATGGTGTGAGGATTGGAAAGTCCTGAAGCGTAGATTTGGGATGACATTGATCGAAGTACGGGGGGTGAAATGCCTTCTTAAGGAGGCGAAAAGGCGGATCGAACTAGGGGGCTTGCTCACTATCATGGACCCGGCGGAGACTGTATCCTTCCCTTCGAAGATTAGGTGGGAGCTACTGCTGTTGCTTACACAACCTTGGCAGAGGAAGCTGCTGTGGAAAAAGGAGGACCATGAGTTGACCCACTTGTACCAAGTAACTAGGGGTTTTGATAAGAGTAGTAGACAACGGATGAGGAATATTATCTCACGGGTGCTCAATGAAAAACTGGGTACTAATCTGAGGAAGAGGCACATAATCAGGATGATAGGATGGATCGGAGGAGAATTGGGGATATAGCGAAAGCAAAGATTGGAGATCTGGGGTTGCACGATTCGATGGCAAGCATCGTACGAAGACACGTCCGAGTTGTCTGGATGAAGAGACAGACAATTGGCGATGTGCTTCACAACCATAGAGACTACGCGTGCTGTAATGGTAGCATTTGCGTTTGCGCAAATAGCCCTTTCCCACTAGTGGAAGGACACGTACGTTGCAGACTCTCGGACCGAGGAGCCCCAGATTTTTTACTCAATGCCAGGAATATTCCTACGCAACGGACAAGGGAAGTAAGGAGGGGGATCATGGCTGCTATCCTCGACGGACTGGGAGAAATTTTTAGGACCTCGGGAAAATGCCTGGCTGTTCACATGGCGGAGATTCAAGACTGCGTACGTGAAAGGGAGACTGCATTTGAGGGCCAGTTCCACCTCGTGCAGGACTGGAGACAACGACTCCGGGGGCTCGTCTGCATGCCAATGGACCGCAATCCAGGGGCGACATACGTCGTCTGTCCGACGGTATACGCCAGAGCACTACGAGATATGTTCTGGCATGGAGGAAGTTTTATTATGTGTACCTTATCGGCAGATGAGGCACTGGCCACCTGCCGAAGAAAGTACGAAGTGAGGGGCCTTAAGGATCTGGGAGCATGGCGCAAGAAAGGGAGATTCGGCGACGTGTATGTCCTACCGAAACACAAAGATCCCGCGAGATGGCGGCCGATCGCCCCGGCTTGGAATTCGCCCTCGAAGGTAGGAGCGAAGAAGGTGGCTAAAGCTTTGCAATGTATGCTCGGAAACCTGGCGAGGGGTCTGCACTTCAACACCTATTTGTCAGAAGATGCAATCAAGAGACTACATGGCTGGGCATCTCATTTGGAGAAGGGACATGGAGTGATGACAGCCTCCTTCGACATCAAGAACATGTTTGCTGAGCTACCTCATGCGGCGATCCTGGAGTCACTCGAATGGATGATCCGGATGATGGAGGCAAAAGGATTCGACAGGGTGAATGTGAACTGCCGGGGAAAGAAGCCAGCGATGGGAAGACAGAACAGGAACGGCCACTTCCCTGTGAAGTTTGATTGTATACGGAAGTGGGTCAGATACGAGCTGGAGTTCTCCTACAGTCTGGCCGAGGGAGAGCTGATACAGCAAATCCAGGGGATCCCCATGGGGGGTCACACGAGCCCTTCCCTCGCGTGCATCCTTTGCGTCCATGGTGAGGCCCAGTTCATGTATGAACTGGGGACACTTCGGAAGAGGATCCTGGGACTGAGACTCATGGACGATGTGGCTGTCTTTGTCCGCTTCGTTCAAGAGAAGACGGAATCAGCCTCAAGCAAGGGACATACTTGAGAAACTGAAAGGATGCTACCCTTCGTCCCTATCTCTGGAACGGACGGATGCTGACGACGGGACGCTCTCGTTCCTGGGGTGTAGGATCCTTGTCGATCAGGAAGGACCGAAGATCACATCGGTACTGCAGATGAAGAACCAAGACTGTATGAGTGGAGACCAACCACTGACGTTCCAGTGCATCCAGGACTTCAGGTCCTATAGCGACAAACAGACCAAGACCTCCATGATTAAGAGTTATCTGCACCGTATCGTGCGATGTTCGAATGATGCTGCACTAAGAGATCTTCCTGTGGCCTGCCTGAGGAAAGAGCTCCGTACGAGACATTTCCTTGTGCCCGTAATTGAAAAAACGGTGCAATCTTTTGAATGTGATCAGAGGGTGAGACTAGGAAGGGAACCCTCCATCCACGAAGGATGGAGGTAGAAGAGAGAGAGAGAGAGAGAGAGAGAGAGAGCTGTCTCTTATACACATCTAGATGTGTATAAGAGACAGGAGAGAGAGAGAGAGTGAGGAGAGTGAGAGAGAGTGAGAGAGAGAGAGAGAGAATGTGAGATCCGGCAGACAAATCATCGCTTTCTCGTTTTTTCGGATTTCTTGTTTTTCCATTTATTTATTTATTTATTTATTTATTTATTTATTTATTTATTTATTTATTTATTTATTTATTTATTCTGAATATCTGCCATTTTCCCGTTGCCTGCCGGCAGACTACCGGATCTCTGAGCTGGTAGGGCCTGCAGAGGAATGTGCGGTAGCCAACTGTTACGTAGTGAACTTAGCCGACGGGAAAGGAGGCAGAACGGATCTAGCGGTAGACCAATTGTTCTTAGATTTGGCCCGGAATATTGTAGAAATTAGATAACGGGCCGAGGGCCTCGACTATTTAACTAACAGTTCAGATGAAGTCAGTCTTTTGGGATATGAGGTTCGAGGGACCCCCCCTGACGAGGATCGGTTGGCGACCGATCGAAACGCKGCGTAGGGGGAAGCCGCGGGTAGAGAGGTGGAGGCTGACACTAAGGTGTCATGCCTGTAGGATCTCCATCGCTAGGAGGTGGTGAGGAGATCGCAAGTGAGGTGGCGCTTATTGTATATCACTC